AATTCTTGGCAGCAAAAGATGCTCATGTCACACAAGTTAAACATCTCCAAGAACTTAAGGAAGAAATTTCTAACCTTGAAGCCAAGCTTTCAGAGTTAAGAAACCAGGTTCCTCTTGCGGAGCAAACTGAGAAAAGTTTGGCAGAACAAAGAAACAAGCTCCACGTGGACATGAAAACTGGCTTGAAATCTACTGCCAAGATCAAGGATCAGCTGCCTTCTTTCACAGCTTCTGCAGATGAATCCACTGAAGAAATCAAGAACATGAGAGAAGAATGGAGCACTTGGAAAACAACCTTTGTTGATTTTTCTTTTATGTATCTCCTTTGCTTTTGCTAGTTGAACTTGCACATTGTCATGTTTGAACTTATTGTTTGCGGCCTATTGGCCATGCAAACTTCTTTTTCAATATTGATCTCTTTCTTGGCTCATATTCTAGAAATCTGCTTGTTGTACTTTCTATTCATACTTTGTTACAGGTTGAAATCTGACATGGCCAAAATCTGGCCGCTGTGGTTGTTCACAGCCAGATTTGGCCTACTTACAGATTCGGCTCAGCACTTTTATTGAATTGAAAAATGATTAAAACGAAAAGAAAATATTGTACAAATCCTACCTCAAATCTGTCTCAGGTAGAATCAATGGTGTCCAAACCCCTAGCCTCCCATATCATAGGATAGTAAGGCTTAAGGTAGATTCCATTTATTTTTCGAGGATGTAACTCTCCATTTAATGATTCAAGCCAATATGCTCCTCTTCTAAGCACTTCATGTATACAAAATGGTCTTTCCCAATTTGGGGACCATTTCCCAAATCTGGGGTCTTTCTTTCCAGGTGGTAGAATTACTTTCTATACCAGATCTCCTTCTGCCAGACTTATGGATTTCACCCGTTTGTTGTATGTTTGAGCCACTTTTAATTTCTGCGTTTGTAGCCTATCTAAGGCCGTCAATCGCATACCTTCAAGGTCTTCTAACTCTAGAATCATTGCTTCATTATATTCTCCAGAAGTGAGACCATGTTGAATTGCTATACGCAATGATCTAGCAGACAACTCCATGGGCAGAACAACATGATGTCCATAAGTTAAAGAAAATGGAGTTACCTTGGTAGAACTCCTTTGTGAAGTTCTGTAAACCCAAATTATGTCAGATAACAGCTCATGCCAACCTCTTGGATTATCATCAACCATTTTTTCCAGTAGATTTATTACAATTCTATTGGAAGCCTCAGCTTGACCGTTGGCTTGAGCATAATGAGGGGTTGAAGTGAGTAACCTAAATTCCATTTCTTTTGCAAACGCCTCAACTTGTGCACCAACAAAAACTATTCCCTGATCTGAAGTCACTGTTTCTGACAAACCGAATCTGTGAATGATTTCTTCCTTAAGAAATTTAATAATATCGGTCTGGTCAACCTTCTTCATTGGCTTTGCTTCCACCCACTTGGTAAAGTAATCTGTGGCAACAATAATAAAAGAATGCCCTCTAGTTGAAGGAGGATAAACTTTACCGATCAAATCTATGGCCCATCCTCAAAATGGCCATGGTTTGACAATTGGATGGAGTTTTTACACTGGAACTTTCTGCAGTGGTCCATGAATCTGGCAGGCTTTGCAACCTTTAGCATAGCTAATGCAATCTTTCAAGATTGATGGCCAAAAGAATCCATGTCTACGAATTAGTCATCTCATCTTAATTCTAATTTGGTGCGCACCACAGATTCCATTATGCACATTTGACATAATCTGGCAGTACTCATCTGGACCAAGACAGCGCAGAAGTAATTCATCATGTCCCCTTCTATAAAGAACATCTTCTAACAGAACATAATTCAAGGCCTGCATTTTTGTTCTTCTTGAAGCCTTAAAATTTGGATTTTTTAGGTATTCCATGATCGGATAACGCCAATCTGTCTGGGTTACATCTATGGAACAAGCAGAAATTGCCATACCATGTGGCAGAATTCGTTTTTCCACAACAACAATTTTGCTCATCACACTTTCTGGGACTTTTAAGCCTGAGGCAATTTGTGCCATCTCATTTGTTTTTGTGTTCAGATCTCAAGTAACAAGCCTCAATATTACATCATCAAATTCCTCCAAGAGCTGTACTGCCAAAGCAAAATAAAGGGCCAAAGGCAAACTAGTGCACTTGTACTCACCTTCTAATTGCTTTAAAATTAATTGTGAGTTACCAATTATTTCTACCACAAGTACCTTGAGCTCTACCAACACTTCCAACCCGATAATCAACGCCTCATATTCAGCTTGGTTGTTGGTGTAATTGAAATCTAGCTGAAATGACATCTGGGTTTTCAAACCAGTTGGAGAAATAATAACAATTCCTGCTCCAAACATGGAATCTGTGCTAGATCCATCAAAGATAAGCTTCCAAGGAACCAGACTTATGGAAAATAAATTAATACCTTTTTCCTCATTCGCTTCTACCTCTAGGCATGGATGATCTGCTAGGAAATCTGCCAAAGCTTGCCCGTTGACAACTTTTTGAGGCATGTACTTCAGGTTGAATTCTGACAAAGCCAGAACCCATTTCCCAATTTTGCCTCTCAACAGTGGTCGAGACAACATGTACTTTATCACATCAGTTTTCGAAATAACATAAACCTCGGAATAAAGCAAATAATGCCTCAATTTTATTGCAGCAAAAAACAAAGCAAGACATAATTTTTCGACCAAAGAATATTTCACTTAGGTCTGTGACAGACTTCAACTCAAATAATAAACAACTTGTTCTTGCTTTTTACTATTTTCTTGTGCCAGCAGACAACCTATAGATTCATCTACGACAGATATGTACAAAATCAAAGGTTTGCCTCTTAAAGGAGGCACTAAGATCGGCGGCTTTGATAAATAATGCTTTATTTCCTCAAAGGCGATCTAATGGTGTCTCTCCCATTTGAAATCTGTTTCTGATTTCAACTTCAGCAGTGGCGAAAAAACTCTTGTCTTTCCTGCCAGATTTGAGATAAAATGTCTCAGAAAATTTACTTGCCCAAGGAATCTTTGTAATTCCTTTTTACTTCTTGGCGACTGCGCTTCAATACTTGCCTTGTTCTGATCCACTTCCAGACCTTACTCATGCACTAGATATCCCAGAAACTTTTCAACAGAAACGCCAAATGCACATTTTAAAGGGTTCATCTTCAGACCATGCTTCCTCATTCTTTCAAAAGCCAACTTTAAATGCCCCAGATGCTCCTCAACCTCATTAGATTTCATAACCACATCATCAATATAAATTTTCATAAAACGACCAATCATGTCATGAAAGATGGCGTTCATGGCTCTTTGATAAGTTGCACCCGCATTTTTTAAACCAAATAGCATTACCACCCATTCATACGTACCAATAGCTCCTGGGCAACAGAAAGCGATCTTTGGAATGTCCTCTTTTGCTATAAAAATCTGGTTATACCCACTGTGGCCATCCATGAATGACAGAATTCGGTGGCGTGCTGCACCATTCACCAATAAATCTGCAATAGGCATAGGATATTCATCTTTTGGTGTTGCCAGATTCAGATTTCTGAAGTCTACACAGATTCTCAACTTGCCATTCTTTTTAACCACAAGAACCACATTAGATAACCATTCCACATATCTGGAAGTTCTGATGAAACCAACCTTCAACAGCCGCTCTATCTCTTCTTTAACTTTCAAGGTGACTTATGGAGACATTCGTCTAAGCGGCTGTTTAAAAGGCCTGAAATCTTCTTTGATTGGTAATTTGTGCTCTACCAAATTTCTGTCTAGACTTGGCATTTCAGAATAGTCCCAAGCAAAACAATCCTTGTATTCACGCAAAATATTGATAATTTTATCATGCAAACATGGTTCAAGAGAACCGCTAATAAAAGTAATTTTCGAATTTGCCTCAATACCCAGATTTACCTTATTTAGGGGATCTTGTACTTCTGCCTTCAGATCATCAAGTTTTGATGGTGCCAGATCTAATTCCTTCAAAGTTATTTGATCCTTCAAGTCTTCCTCTTCACCTTCACAGACTACTTCAGATTTGTCTACACAGATCCGTTTTTCAACAAGGTAGGCTGCTAATTTTCTCTTGATTTCTTCCACGGCCTCCTTTTTCTGGTGCTTAATTCGATCTTTCTTCATGGAATTTCTTCGATTTCAGGTTCCTCCCTCGGCCTAAAAGGAACAATTGCTGTAGGCAGAAGTAGTTCGTCACACACCTCCTTCACAATCTGTCTATCCATTGAAGATTTGGTGCAAGTAGTAATTCCAGAAGGTCTGCCATAGCGGTCCATCCCAAAGAAACGGATAGTCCCAATATCTTCATCATAATAACGAGCTTCCACTGCACTGGTATTTGCCACAAATGGCTTGTCATCTGCTGTCACAACTTTAGTTCTGCCACTGTTCCAGAATATTAATTTCTGATGCAAAGTTGAAGGAACACACCAGCTGGAATGTATCCAATCTCTCCCAAGCAATGCATTATAAGTGGCAAAAGTGTCAACCACAAAGAATGCACACATGAGAGTTCTATTTCCCACGATAAGTTCTACTAGCAGAATTCCCCTTAAGCGATTTACTCCACCAGTAAAGTCACTAATTATCACTTCTGTCTCCATTAAATCACCCAAAGATTTGCCAATTTTGTGCAAAATACAAGTTGGCAAAACATTGACAGCTGCTCCATTATCAACCAAAACCCGATTTATCGGCATACCATCCAGATGTGCATGAATGTATAATGGCCTGATATGTCTAGCCATTCTCTCTTCTTGTTTTTCGAAAATGATTTTATCTGCTGAATCCATGCCACCATCTTCCTTAGCTGGGATCTCAATGACTTCTTCTTCCTCAATCAAAGCTGTCTGGTGACAGACTACAGATTCTGATTGCTCTCTTGCTTGAAATACCAAAGGAAGAGTGATCACTAAACACGATAGATTCATGGAAAACTCACCAAAATGAATTATGTCTAATGAATTTTTCACTTCATCTGACATATCAAATTTCACCTTCAAATCGGTTTCTTCATTTGATTCCACAGCCAGAATCCAAGGTGATGTTGGACTTCTGGGTGGTTCTTCCTTTTCTGGAGCATTCTGATCAGATGTGCTCCCTTTTTCCTTACAGACCCACACTGATTTTCTCCTTGCTGAGAGCGGCTGAGCCTGATCTGCCTTGCCCCCCGAGTCTGTAATTTGCTGTCGGTGTCTTTCTGCTACCCTTTTGCATTGTAAACGCCTCCTCAAGGTCCTTGGATTTTGACCCTTAGGAAATTTTGGATGCACCACACGTTCCCACTGTTTGCTTGGAGATTTGAGTGGTGGTTTCACCATTCTGGGCTTTTCTACGCGTCCAGATATCACAGTTCCCTGATTTGCATTATTTTTCTGTTGAGTTGGGTAATGCCCCTCGAGCTGTCTCTTTTGGCATGAGCTTGATTTGACCTGATTTCTACAGGCCCTTGCCTTCTCAATGACTCACCTCAGATCATCAGCTGCAAGTCTGCGCCTAGAGTATGTCTGAGTTCTATCTCTGGCAATGCTCCTAAGATCTGCTGCATTCACCCCAACAAACATGGTAGGGAATGGATCTGCATCAACTCCCATAGTTTCTTTGGCCTTATCCGGAAAACGCAGAATTCCCTTGTTGATTTTATCCTATAAAACATTCCAAAAAATCGCACAATCATTAGTAGAATGTTTCCAAGAATTATGATATTTACAACATTCTCTATTTCCAATTTCGCCAACCATTGGGATTTTATGCCCCGGCGACAACTTAATTAGACCACTCTTTTTAAGGTGGTCAAAGATTTTATTAGTCTTTGAAATGTCAAATGTGTATTGTTTTCCAGCCTCTCCGACATAACGTTTTACTGTTTTGTTGGTCTGCTGGGCCACTTTAACCAAATCTGGGCAAACAACTGGCTTGTCTGCCACCACTTCTGCAACGTTCAGATCAAAGTTAGCATCACCATAATAAGTCCCATGAGATGTAGATTTTCTTTGTGTGTCCTCTCGCAATAAATTTTCATAACGAGCTACCTTGTAAGACAACTCAAAGAAATCACGAAACTCCATTCTTCAAACTTTTTCCTCAATTCAATGTCCAGACCATTTTGTGCCAGCTTGACAAATTCCTGTTTTGGTAGGGCAACTCTGCACTTAAGTCTGGCCTTCCGAAATCTGGCAAGAAAGGCCTCAGATGTTTCTCCAGGTTGCTGCACTAAACGAGATAAATCTGCCATGGACACTTCTGGCTCATTGCAGTAAAACTAGATATGGAAAAGGTGCTCCATCTGTCTCCAAGTATAAACTGAATTCTGTGGCAGACTCAAGTACTAGGTGAGAGCTGTACTAGTTAATGAGCTAGGAAAAAGTCTGAGCTTCAGATTATCATCACCAGAGGCCTTGCCACATCGAATTGTGAAGCGGCCTACATGTTCAATTGTAGAATATCCACCATCTCCAGAAAATAAAGTGAATTCTGGAACCTTGAACCCCCTTGGAAAAAGATTTTCTTGGTTTATGAAAACTGGATATGGTTTTCTATAAGCTGGTCTGACTAGAGGCCTCAAAATTGGACCATAAGCCTCCAGTACCATGTCGATGATCTGATCACGATTGATGTACTGTCCTAGCAGGGCAACTCAATGTCTAGACCATTTTGTGGCAGCTTGACAAATTTCTGTTATGGCAGGGCAACTTTGCACTTAAGTCTGGCCTTCCAAAATTTGGCAAGAAAGGCCTCGGATATTTCTCTAGGTCGCTGCACCAGACGAGATAAATTTGCCATGGACACTTCTGGCTCACTACGGTAAAACTGGATATGGAAAAGGTCCTCCATTTGCCTCCAAGTATAAACTGAATTCTGTGGCAGACTCAAGTACCAGGTGAGAGATGTACTAGTTAATGAGCTAGGAAAAAGTTTGAGCTTCAGATTATCATCACCAGAGGCCTCGCCACACTGAATTGTGAAGTGGCCTACATGTTCAATTATAGAATATCCACCATCTCCAGAAAATAAAGTGAATTCTGGAACCTTGAACCCCCTTGGAAAAGGATTTTCTTAGTCTATGAAATCTGGATATGGTTTTTTGTAAGTTGGTATGACTAGAGGTCTCAAAATTAAACCATAAGCCTTTAGCACCATGTCGATGATTTGATCATGATTGATGTACTGTCCTGGCAGATTTTGAAGATTTTGCTACACGAGTGGCATATAAGGCTGGAAATGCTCCATTTGTAGAGGTGCATTATGTTATGGGTGTCCTCCATTCGGTCGGCGCGGAGGTGACAGATATCTGGGCTGCTGGTGATTGCCCAGTTCTGCTACACGTGGTGTAGCCTCAACAGGATATGGCTGCACAAGTCCGCCTACTGCCTGCTGAATCTGGGGAGGCGGTTGTGGCAAATTAACTTGCCCCTCGAGTGCTGGAGCTGGAATATTCTGATTCTGCCTTTGGAGATCTGCTGCTTATGGCTGAGGCTCAATTCTGGCACGTCAAAATGCCTCCTGCATTCGTTCTATTTCAACTTGGAAAGCTCTCCAATTTTTTGCATTTTGCTTGCGCCAGATTTTGGCACTTTCTTCATTGGATCACCATATGTCAGCTACACTTTGGGCTACACTTTGGGCCAAATTCTGAGCCAGATTCTGAAAAGACTCATCCAATTGTCTAGCAACCTCTTGGCTTCTTTGTCGAGCTTTCTCCTCAGATTCCACCAGTGTGTGCCTCATGATGCTAATTTGATCTGACACAGCTTTTACAAGGGAATCACCAAATTGAGCAACATCATCTCCAGATTCACTATCCTTATTGAAGGTTGGGTTGACAAATGAGTGTTCCCCAAGTATTGGTGACAATGTGTTGACGACCACTTAAGATTTTTTTTTTTTTAATAAATAGAAAAATTAAGTGTAAAAAATATAAGAAAAGGAAGTCACCACTCATCCAAATTATAAGGTGGGATAAGTCACCTAAAAGGATCTGCGCAGAGATCGAGGTTCGGTTAGGAGTGAGGAAAGGCATATGCGCACCTCACAATCCTCCGTTTAAACACGGTTGCATACTTTAAAATTGGGGTTTTAATTCAACTTATTTATTATGTTTATGTTTGAGTCTTAATAGGAAAGCCTGAAAAAGGGATAAACCAAATTGAAACATTTTTAAAATTTTTGGACTAAAATGGACTAAATCAAAGACATGCATGCACAATAACATAAACAAGAAGTTAAGGGACTAACTTGATTAAATTCACGAACATAGAGGACTGATTTGAAAAAAGAGTTGACCCATGGACCAAATTGTTTAATCTTGAAAGTTCTGGGTAAAATTGAAACAAGGAAAGATAATTTTGCCTTTTAGCAAGATTAAAGGAAATGAAGGACTTAAATTAATTAACTAAGATAATTGATTTAACTAAATGATTAATTTATCATTAATTAAAATTAATTAAAATTAATTAATCATATTTATAAATCTTTTTAATCAAGATAATTAAATAATATAATCATCTTAGATTAAGATTAAGATCAATAAAAATGATTAATTTATTTTAATTAAAGTTAATTAATTTTATTAATCATAAACTAAATTAATTATCCTAATTAATTAATCCTTTTTATTTA